CCTGGTTCCTTTGGTTTGGTGGCAGGAAAAATCACTTGTCAATGACACATTTTTGTCATATGATCTCGGAAGACTAGGTTCACCATGAACATGGTCTGGTGACGGCTATTGAAAGTGAGTGTTCCTTTTACAGACATCACCATGGAACCTCGAAGAAGTTCTAGCTATGCTCAGTGGGCTGCAAACTACAGAGCAATAAAGTTGTTTCAAGTCACCTGTTAGGCAAATTAAAGCAATTTGTATTTTTTGTATGTAAAGCAATTTATATTTTACAGTGTATGCACACATATACTGAGTTAATACACAACTCTTATTTCCCTAGTATGAATTGCATACAGAAGAAAAATAGCACAGGAAGGCTATGCAGTAAAGATGGAGAGAGAAACCACCTAATCCCCTTTTCCCTAATTATTACATGTTTCAGGGATCATTTAGACTGGTATTGTCCAATCCTTTAGCCACCAGTCCCCATGTGGCTATTTACATTTAAATTCAAATTAACTGAAAAGTAAATTTAAAAAATCAGTTCATTGCACTAGTTACCTTTCAAGAGTTCAATAGTCATTTACTAAAAGTAGCTACTCTGTTGGACAGCACAGATATAGAACATTCATCTCCAAGTGGTCTACTCGACAGCAATGAAACCACTGATCAAGGTCAAAAATCTCTCCACTGGCTCTGGAGACTTAAGAAAATTGTGATTTTGACCCTTCAATCAGGAATACTCACAAGCAAATTTCTAGATAATAAAGACAAATGTCAGGACATTGACGACTTGTGCCCGTCTTGTATAGAAACACACATTTTCTTTAACTGGCCAAGTCATATGCAAACAGTAGAGGTCATTTTGAAACCTTTGCAGATGACCACATTTGCTGTGCAGAGGAATCCCAGATGTACACACCTGCATTTGATGTTTCTACTATACATAATGTATTAGTCAGTGTGGTTCATTTTAGTTGTTTGCACTGCAGCAATTCTTCCCATTTATCAGACTTGCTACCTTCTTCCATTGATTGAAACTAAGGCAGAAGGTGTAGGATATGCAAAGTTCAAACCAAGAGGCTTGCCAATAGGATGTTACTAGACATCTTTGGTGAGACCAAATTCACAGTCACCAACTCATGATTGACATGACATCTGACTGCTGCAAATACTTTTTCTTGTTCCAGAGAGAAACACGCACATACCACACACACTTTCTCTCTACTCAAAACTTTAAGCCTGTTGCAAGCTGATGTCTCCTAGAAATCAACTAGCCAATTCTAGCCCCTCTTTACCTCATTAAGTTTAATGTATGTACCTGCACACCTGTATCTGTACACATCATGAAAGCCAAGATGAACAAGCTATATAGAAAAATGGCTCCAGAAACCTGGTGACCCGATTTCTCTTTAGTCCATCACTCTGTTGAACTCAGTGCTGTCATAATCCCTTTGGTTTTATAACTCCTCAGCACATTTAATGAGTTCCCCATTCCTAACTGGAGAACATAGTATTTGGAGCACCAGGTGGCATCTGGCTAAGACCTTTTTTGTTGTGGTTCACTTCCATTATCTTTTTAAGGGAAGCTTTAAGAAAAAAAAAACTTTCTAAATTATTATCTATCAGGATGTTTTAGATGTGTCTTCTCCACGACCGATCCAAAGAATAAACTTTAAAAGATTAACTTGTTTCTTTGAATTGCCATCCAAATGATAGCATATTTACTCTGAAAGTTAACTGTGCCAGAAGGAGGCAGAAAGAAATTGAGACCAGTGTGCCTACATCTTGAAAGAGGCTTTTTGTAGCTTCCCTGCTTCATCTATGTCTTATCGTATCACTTAGTTTCATGAGGCCAAATGCCGTGAACCTCCCTTTCCCTCTCATGATTCTGCTGTTGCATACCTTCTCACACACTACTTTGTCCTGAGTCACCCCTTTATAGTGATGGTGAGAACGCTCACCTCAGCGGATTATGGGACTGTGTGTTCTAATTAGAACCTGAATAGTCCTGTGTTATCAGTGGACACTGGATCCTGTTTAATTGTGCTGAGATCATTGTACACTGGTTGATGTATCATTGCGGTCCACTGAGCAAGCAGCTCTGTTATTTTCAGTTTGATCATCAACGCTCCACTGAACACAATTCCTTTTGAATATGCCTATTTGCTCGTCCTCTTTGCTTAATTGAACAATTGCAATTACGGGTACATACAACTGAATGTTAATTATTTTCAGATTTTTTGTGTTAATGATTTTATTTACCAATTAGAAGACTATCATTTTCCACACCAAACAAATTCTCCATCTGAAGCAGCATGATATATAACCATGTGATCTCTTTGACCAAAAAGAAATGTTCCGTCATTTTTGTAATAATTATGTAACATTTAGACAGCTAAAGACAGTCTTCAGTAACATTAGTGGTTAAACAACCAGATAGGTAGGAGATTACTAATAAACTTTCAATCAAAGGGTGACTTAATAAATATAAAAGAGCATTTACTTAACTTTATAAGAAAATAAGAATTGTTTGAATAAAATTTAAGTTAATATCTGATAAAGGTCAAGCAGAATCAATTTTGAAAATCTGGAAAGTTCAGCAAAGTATAAAGAGTGTTTAATCCCCCATAATCCTCCCCACCCCAAGACAATCACCATTAACATTTAGGTACATTTTCTTCCAAAGGCCTCTAGGCTCTTCTTTTGGGATATGCTTACGACCGCTAACGTTTAACATACCCCTGGGGTTGGTGTTCAACCCCTTGTTTCTCCACGGTGTTTTTGTACTTTCGCTTTGATACTAAGCTTTCATTAACCTCAACTTTAGCTCAGTAGATTTGGGTAACTGCTGTTCTGGTGTGGTCTTGCCACTGGGCGTTCCTGCAGTGGGCTCTGCTGCAGTCCTGAGTCACATTTCTCCTTGTGTTTTAGGGTGGTTATGCTGCATACCGCTACGCCCAGCCTACCCCTGCCACGGCCGCTGCCTACAGTGACAGGTAAGGGTCATTCTTCTCATGCTTGACAAATACTTGGAAATTAACTTAGTTGATGGGAGAGGAGATTCTTGTATGGTCTTGGTGAAACTGCATGACTGCTGGGGGAGGTAGCACCCCAAAAGTTAGGTCCCATGGTGAACGTGAACTCAAGGCCCCATAGACAGAGGGCAAATGCTTCAGCCCATTCTAAACTACCTTCTCTGCTAAGACACAAAGAAAATGATAGTCTTGTCCCTGTGTAGTTTTTAACATCTCTTAATTCCTGTGACAACACAGCTTGCTCACATACACATACACACACACACTCTCTGTACAACCTTCTTATGGTCATCTATGTAAGACTGTGGTTTCATCTAACTCATAGGAAGAAAAACAGACCACGATCCTACAAGGTTTATTTCAATTTCAAGTCCCTTATTTCCCTTTTTACAAGGTCTTATATGGAATAAATTATTCCCTCCAATGCATTTTTACAATTTGAAATAAAGGAGAGGGAGAGTGTCCCTGGCATTCATAAGGAGATTCATTCTTTCTGGCAATGCCCAGTGTCCAATCCTACAAACATAAGTCAACTTTTATTTGTAATGCACACCACATGTTAAGGCAGGCAGTGGAAGGAACCCAGTGTGTTTGAGAAGTGCAGAAGTCAGAATGGATGGGCAAGTTGTGGGCGGGTGGGGTGGAAATGAGGGGCTTCTATTACCCAGGCTTAACAGATGAGTTGGTTCCTGAAACAGCAAGCCGTAGCTACTTTTGTATGGTTGCCTTGAAAAGGAAAGTGTGTGTTTTCATATTGAATGCAACTCCTTGGCTCTGTTTTCTGAGGACATAAATGTGAATGTTCAGATGCTCTGCATGCACAAATGTCATTGAGGGTGCTTATTTTGGTAATGAGTCCTTTATTTTAAAAAATACGTTTCATGTATAAAACAATGATAACAATTTGCATGTGTGGCTGGGGCATGCTGGGTCAGACAGGTAAGCAGGCGATGTATTTGACTCCTGAATGGGAAGTGTCGGCAGCCTCTGGTGCTCCTACCCGGGTCTGTTGTGATGTAGTTCCTACCTCGGTTTGCTGTGGTGTGCTTTCTCTGCAGTTCCATTCCATTTCTCACGAAATGTGCTGTTAGCTAATTGTAGAATTATTGCAATATAATAAAGCAGAGTAAATTCCTGAACCCTAAAAGCGGCACTTTGAAAACCCCATGCATACACTTTTAACAAATGGTTCTTCGGTAAGATGGAGTTGAGATCTGCTGTCTGGTTCTATGCAGGTATCTTCTTATAAGCAGCCATAACAAGTTCTCAAGGCTGTAGGGGGCCTTCAGAGAAATCCAGACAATTGTCAAGACAAGGTTCTCAATACATAAATTATACATTTACCCAGTAATCAGTTACCAAGATGCAAAATGTGTTTCATGTAAGTTGTTATCTTCAACCCACTGACACTGGATTAGAAAAGTAGAGAGGGTCAATAAGGCTAATAAAAAAATACTCAAGATCATTGTACAAATGAAAACGTCTAATGTTATTAAATTCTGCACTGAAGATTCACAAAGTATCAATTGCAACGTGGTTCAACTGCAAGCCTTAATTATTTTTTATGAAAATATCTCTAGATGCTACATTCTCAAACACCCACTTTGCATATAATTATAATCATAGTAACTTTAGCCTGGTGTATAAGAATCTTAAACGGATTTGAATATCTTGCTTTTCAGTATAAGTGCATCTACCCCCAAGTTGAAAAAAAAAAGATTAACAAATATATAATTTAAATTGCCTCCTTCAATAAGGCTGGTCTAGACATTTAAAAAATAAACAACATATGATACTATTAGAATTATCTGAGATTCTGGCCAACTACTTGCATTCATCTAAACATTTTTAAATTTCTACATTTTGGAACACCATATGTGTAAAATCTGTTATTTTGATATTATTTAGATTTCTCATTGGCAACATGTCCCACTGAAAGATCGCCCTTGTTCTTGGATTGGTAAATCTTTAATAACTGCAATTCCAACTTTAGCACCATAGTTTCAGCTGAAGAAACCAACTACTCTGTTGTCCATATAATTGGCCTCTTGTTGTTCATTAGAGAAATTTGCACATTTGGTCTTCTTGGTTGCTGTGGAAATTGATAGCTATCCTTATTTAACTTTATGATAAGCAAGACACTTGCCACATATGGAATTATTCATTGAAGTAAATTCATTAAGTAAATGGACAGAAAGCAATCTTTAAAGTTGTATTTCTGAATTTTTAAAGTGTCTATTAAATGGTGCTACCTCCTTTTATCTTTAATAAATGGATATTGAGAAGGAATACCTTTTTATAAGAAGACACTTTTAGGGAAAATGTGAAATTATCAGAATAGCTTTTGAATCTAGATTAAAGATGCCAAGTACCTAGAATTTCTCTCAGAAGTAGCAATCGTGTAACCAGTTATTTTTATATCATCACAGCATAGAATCAGTAGTGATAGATTCTTAGTTCCTCTTCTGTAGAAGACAGGCAAGATAAAGAAAAACTTAACAAAAGAACTTCTTCAAAAATAGGAAGTAAAATCAGCAGGCATTCAGAATGTTTTGGTAATGCTCTCTGGCTGTCAATTGATCAAAAGAGAAACAGCAACAAACTTTCCCTGTAATCACGAGATTCATTCTTCATACGTCTTGAAAGCAAAAGTTTGATGTCCCCAGTTGGTAGGATTTTACCTTTTATCAGCACAAATTAAGCCCTCATCAAATTAAAGATTCAGGGACCTTTGAGAAATACTGAACTCCAGTAACCTCAGGACTGTCCAGAAGGTCCTTAATGGGCACCTTGCAACTCCCTGCCCATCATCTTCTTGGTTAAATGATCACATGCTGATCATCTCGGAGCAACCTGAGAGTCTCTGAATGTTGACCTCCAGAATGAAGACCATCTGGTGTGGGCAGAGATTTCCCCAAAAGGAAAATACCTGACTGGACTAGGTAATTTTAGAGTCTCATTGACAAATTTAGTGGGAATAGGTGAACACCTTATCTTGGCATTTAGCAAACATTTGGTAAGCACTTGACCTCACCAAATCTTTATTTCTAATCTCACTTTGATTTATGCAAAGCCAACTGTCTGAACTCTCAAAGGAGAACGTTTTCTGAGCTTGAACCAATTGAAGCATGGCAGAGGGGCCTTTGGTCATCCGGTCATTGCATGCCACTTGGTGTTGCTGATGTGTCTGTGATACGTTCTGGATTGGACAGGTCCATCACATCAGCTTGATGAATGGCTTGCTTGAATTAAGCCTGGGG